ATATATGAAGTGAAGTAAGCCAGGCCCAAAGAAACATAGGTCCCATGGTTTCCCTTATTTGCAATATCTAGTATATGTCTGAGTCAAGCAGAAAAGGTCAGATAAGGTGATGTTAGGGAAATGAACCCTAAGATATGTATTCAAACGTTTTTTTTTTCTTTCATGCGATTGTTTCTAACACATTTATAAGATTATTTCTTTGTTGCTTTGTATCTCCCTCCCCCACAGTATAACCCCTGCTTTCACTGTATTTGATGCCGGTATAATTTGTGGAGGGGAAGGGGAAAAACAAGTCGTTTAAATAAGGATTCAGGTGGACCTATTACAACAATGAGAAATACAAGTTGTTATGTCGAAAATGAACTTTACAACTTTGGTGGGGGGGTGGCGGAAAGGATTGGGTGGGGGGGGGCGGGGGAGGAGGATGGGAAGGGGAAACAAAGGAGGAGGCAGCAATGCTTGATAAGAAATGTACTCATTATCTTGCCCATGCAATTGTAACCCCTCTGTACAGTATTTTCACAATAAAAAATAAATATAAATTTAAAAAAAAGAATTGTAGTGGGAGAATAAACAAAAGTGAACTATACATCTCATGATGGAGATTGGAGGGAGGGACTGGGAGAGGATGAGGGAACAGAAGACACTGTATGAAAGGCAATGTACTCATTACCTGACTCGTGTAAATGCAGAATTAAAGACTAAGTATAGGTACTAACACAAATGTAAGTTTTTCTCAACACAGTCTGGGATGAAACTGCTAGAATAAATGGGTGGAATCTTTCAAATGGCAATTTGGCCTGATGTATTTCTTTCTTTAAAAATGTCCATGTAATTTAAGTTAGTATTTATGTGGAGAAGTTGTGGGTATATGATGAAGTTCTCTGAAAGATGGAAAAGTATTTTGTAACACCAGAAATAGAGAGATGTAGAGAAGCAGAGTATTATTTTGTACTTACCTTATTTGAGGTATCATTCTCAGCACTTTATATCTGCCATAATAATGATCTTATAAACCAGGAGCCATTATAATTTTACTTTTTTTTGGGGGGGGGGGGTTCTGGTTGTGGGGCCTGAACTCTGGGCCTGGGCGCTGTCCCTCAGCTCTTCAGCTCAAGGCTAGCACTCTACCACTTGAGCCACAGCGCCACTTCCAGCTTTTTTCTTTTTGCTTATGTGGTGCTGAGGAATTGAACCCAGGGCCTCAGGCATGCAAGGCAAGCGCTCTACCACTGAACCACCTTCCCAGCAATTTTACTTATTTTAGACAAAGAAATGGAGTCCTTTGCCCAAGCTAGGACTGGAGATGGGCTATGAAATCAAACAGCCCAACTCTAGAGCTAGCTCTATAAAGTGATAGAATACTTTCTAAGTTATATAGTTAAGTGTGTTTGTGTTTGTAATAATGTGAGAAAAATATATATTATCATGTCTAGTTTGGAAAGAAAATAATTAAAAACAAGAAAAGAGAAAATGATAAGAGAAAAGAGAAAAAACAAACTGATCAATTAGAAAAAAAAGAGCCCTCAAGGATTAGACAATAGTATGGCATTAATTCTGATCTTTGGGTAGTGAACTCTGTTTTCCCCTATTACTTTCAATTAAAAAAATTAGCAGGTACCGTATTTTTGGATGGTAAAATTGTAATTATTCTTTTTAAAGCTCCCACCCACATTTCCTCCACATTTCTCTCTGTGCTCCATTTCCCAATTTCCTCCTTAGGCCTTATTTTTCCATCTTTTATTTCTTTTTCTTTTCTTTTTTTTTGGGGTCCGGTTGTGAGGCCTGAACTCTGGGCCTGGGCGCTGTCCCTCAGCTCTTCAGCTCAAGGCTAGTGCTCTACCACTTGAGCCACAGTGCCACTTCCAGCTTTTTTCTTTTTGCTTATGTGGTGCTGAGGAATCGAACCCAGGGCCTCATGCATGCAAGGCAAGTGCTCTACCACTGAGCTAACTTCCCAGCCCCCTTATTTCTTTTTCTTTAAGGAGGTGCTATTAGGATTTGAACTCAGAACCTCACACTTGCTAGGCAGGCATTCTACTACTTGGATCTATTCTGTCATCACTTTTTTTGTTCAAATAAGATCTAATTTTATGCTCAAGGAAGCCCAGACTGTGATCTTACTATTTATTCTTCCCTATGTCACAGGACGGCAGGTACATGCCACCATGCCCAGCCTTAACCTTCCCCTTTATAGCTAGAGATGAGAGACATGTGCTACTTCTTCTAGTCATCGCTTGAGATGGGGTCTTGTGAACTTTTTTCCACCTCTGGTCTCATCTCAAGCAGCAGTTTCCTGATATCTGCTTCCTAAGTAGCTAGTATTACAGTTTTGAACTACTACACCTGGCTTCCTATCTTTTATTTCACATCCTTTTCCCATTTCTTATATCTATTCTTCTTCCTCCCCCTATGTTATCCCCTCCTTCTACCCTTCCCACAAAGTTCATGAATACGAAAAGAAAAAGCCCCGGATTTTCTCTCTTCCTTTTCTCTATGCACCCTTCTGGGGAGTGTAACTAGGGGAGTGGGGAGCATTCAGTAGTATGCCATTTTCTGGAAGTCCCCCTCACCCCCACAGTTAGTCTTTCTAATGGCTTCTAAAATTGCTGGAATCAATTCTAGACCCTATCCCAGCATTCCCTGCTTCCTGCCTACCTCTGCCTCCTGCTGGCCAATGGCACCTTTGTTCTTGGGTGTGGCAGACTTGTCTGTCATTTGCTTCCCTGTGGCTGCTCAGCTCTCCCTTCGTGCTCTTCCTTCTTCCAGCCTGGGCTTCTCTTCTGAGCACTAGGCTGTCTTCAGATAGCCAGCTGGTAAGAGGCCTTCCATGTTCCCAGGAGAACCTGACTTTGGGGTTCATCCAAGGCCCTTTCCAATCTCCCCTTGATTTCCACAGAGTAGACCCAGCAATACTAATGTTTTAAAGAATGAAGAGCCTCTTCCGCCCTTCCAGGCCCCCTATCACCCCATAGAACTCACATCCAGAACACCTGCTCATTAGGCTAATAAGGAAGACTGACCAGGTCAGAAAGCCAAGGCCTATGTAGGTGGTATTTTCTCTTTCCTTTTTTTCAATTCATTTTATCAATTTGGCTGAAATGGAAGCGAATGTGCTCAGGCCTAGAACATACTCTAACCCTTGACCAGGCCTTGGTCCTTCAGTTTGATTTTCAGAGAAATGTTCCCATTTTAGTCCAGGCTTTCCTCAGACCTTGATGCTACTATTTCTCCTTCTGGCACTGCTGAGATTATTGGTATGATCTACCACATCTGGCTTATTGCTTTCTCTCTGGGAACACATTTCTCTCTAATAATTTGTTGTAGCATTTGAATAAAGATTATATATATATATATATATGACGAGCATTCATTTGGTCCAGATTATCCTCAAATCCGGTTCTTTATGGCCTGTAGTGAGAAATACCAGTTGTTTTTGCCACACACACAGTTCTTTTTTAAAGATGGGTTTCCTTTACATCAACCTTTTATCACTGGGTGCCTATTGTTTTGTTTGAGTGTCTTTCCTGCTCTAATGACCAGAGGCCCTTTCCTTTCCTTGCTTCCTGAAGGGTGGCTTCATTCACATTTGGGTTAAAAATACTTTCAAGTGCTCTTATTTCCAGATCTATCAAGGTCAAATGCTAAATTTAGCTCCCTCATTTCCAAAGGAAAAATGACATGTGTTTCCCCACCCCCCATTACCACCCCACGTGCCCCCCTGCCAAAAAATGTGTGTTCATTGCAAGTAATCAAAAAGGAAAATCAGGCACTATGTGAAGAAATACCCAGAAAGTGGCAGTCCTTGTTAACATCACGTTCCAGAGGTAAAGCTGCTGGCTGTGGACCCATTGAGTTTTAGAGTTTTCAGAGTCCCACAGGGCCTACTGAATTCTCCATGACTGTGCCCTTCTACTTCTAGGCAGGGATTGCTATTTTCTTCTGTGGCTTTGCTTGTGGTATCGAAACTTCTTTCACTGTCTGGGGATTCCCTCCCTCCCATCCACCTCATCCCCAATTTGAAAATCCAGCCTAAGTCACACCCACAGCATAACATTTTCCATGATTTACACACAGACTATACTTTCTTGAAGAACATCCCTGTCTTTATTGGCACCTGAACTTCATAGGTACATTGGCATTGGGGGTAGTACTTTGTGGAGGAGATTTAAAAGCATCTTCAGCATCTCCATGTAATGTATCACTGGAAGCTACCAAAAGTCAATTTCCTTTTAAAAGATTAATTTCATTTTTTAAAGGATTGAATGAGAAAGTTTCATTCATCTAAAGGGAAGTCACGCAATTAAACACTTATTATTCATGTGTGTTTATCAATCACCTATGTACCCAATGCCCACCACATCCCTAAGTTCTAGAAAAGCACAGGGCATTGTCCTGTCAGTTCCCTAACAGCAAGTGATCTAGATGGGAAGAGGTGCATACATTGGAAGAAGGAGCTAGTTATATGGTTGAATTCTGTGGTGCAGAGTGCAGTCTAGACATGGGTAAGGCATGAGAAATGCCATGTAGTAGTAGGTATGACTTGAGCTGGGAGGATGGGAGGAAGGGGTACCACACAAAGTTCTTGTGCTGCTGGGGCATTATTTACTTCCTGAGCATCAAAGTGTCCCCCATTCTGTCATCACACTTGCAAATTTACACAGTCCATTCTGCCCTACGCAATTTTACCTTATAAATCAGTGCTCCCATTTCCTGTTGCTGGTTGCTGCTAAAGTGCCTGGGTGATCAATGTCCCTCTGCACATCCTTGGTGAAGAATACTTTGATTTTTACCCAGGCTCTGATTTGATCAAGAGCTGTGAAAGTCCTCCAGCATGGAGAAACAACACCCATAGACTCTAAGCAAAGGCCCGTGGTGAACGGCACCATCTGGGCTGGGCAGGTCTGTGCCTGACAGGCAGCCCCTGTGTACAGACCAAAAAGGTATTTGCAGGAAATTTGCAAATTGCTAACCAACCGTGGCTGCAGGCTCGTGCTCACCTCTCATCACATTTAATCAGAATCACGCTGTCTGTTCCAATTCCTAAGGCTGCAGCTCCCTTCTTGAGAGAAAAATGACTCTGTTAAAAAAAAAACAAAGAAAAACACATATTTACAAAAAACATATTTATCATTCATGTTCTTCAAAGATAAGATTCAAGCCAGGCCTAGTAGTTCAAGCCTGTAATCCTAGCCACCTGGGAGGCAGAAATCAAGGGATTACGATTTGAGGTCAGCCTAATCACCCCCCACCATGTGTATAATTATTTTATATGTATTATATAGAACATTATATAATACTATAATATGATATAATACTATATAACATATATTATATATATGACTTCCATTTCACTTATGGTTTGTTACAGTGCTGGACACTTTTATCCCAGTGAAATAGGAAAGCATAAATAGGAGTTCTGCAGTTTAGGCTGGCCCAAGCAAAACAAAAACAAAAAACACCCCAAAGTGGTAGCAAGTGTGAGACTCTGCATTCAAACGGTAGTACTAGCAAAATAATAATAAATAAATGAACATAAACACATAAAGACAAGATTTTACTCTGCTGATTTTGTTTCTCACCTTTAATATCTAGCTTATACTTTTAAATCCTGAACTTCTCAGAAAAGATAACAACTTTATTATATTAAAAAGATACACATAGATTAGCCACCATGGTAACCATTTTTCAATACAGCCATACCATTTCAGTGGCCTTAAGTATTTGAACATTGTTTTGAAGCCACTACAACCATTCATCCACAGAATACTTTTTATCCTGGAAAACTAAAACTGTACTCATTAAACATCCATTTCCCATTGTCTTCCCTAGTGCCTGGAAACCTCCATTCTAGTCCCTGTCTCTGTCAATGTAGCTGTCATAGGTGCTTCCTATAATGAATTGCATTGTGACTGGTTTATTTCAGTGAGCACAATGTTGTCAGAGTTCACCCAAATAGTACCATAGGTCAGAATTTCCCTCCTTTTTGAGACAGCAATATTTCATGCATTGTATTTTCTTTCATATTCATTCATCCATAGATACCAACCTAGGTTGCTTCTCCCTTTTGGCTATTGTGAATAATGCTGCTGGAAACATGGATATACACATCTCTTTAAGACTCTACTTTCCATTGGTTAGGGGAGACAGTTGGAAGAACTGATGGACCTTGTGGTAATAGTATTTGTGTGTGTGTGTGTGTGTGTGTGTGTGTGTGTGTGTGTGTGTGTGTGTGTGCATGAGTGTGTGTGTTTGCTGGTACTGAGGCTTGAACTCGCGGCCTGGATGCTGTCCCTGAGCTCTTTTGTTCAAGGCTAGTGCTGTACCACTTGAGCCATAGCTCCACTTCTGGCCTTTTGTGGTTATTTAGAGGTAAGTGTGTCTTGAAGTTTTCCTTCCTGGGCTGGCTTCAAACTTTAAGTATAAGATCTCAGCTTCCTGAGTAGCTAGGATTACGGGCATGAGCCACTGGAGCCTAGCTATTTTTATTTTTATTTTTTATTTTAATCATTTTTATTTCAAGTATATTTAAAAAATCATAAATGGGGTTTTGATTTAATTTTTTTGGGGGGGTCCGGTCATGAGGCCTGAACTCTGGGCCTGGGCGCTGACCCTCAGCTCTTCAGCTCAAGGTTAGCGCTCTACCGCTTGAGCCAAAGCGCCATTTCTGGCTTTTTCTGTTTATGTGGTGCTGAGGAATCGAACCCAGGGCCTCATGCATGCAAGGCAAGCACTCTACCACTGAGCCACCTTCCCAGCCCGTAAATGGGGTTTTGTAATTCAAAGTTGAAACCATTTTTTCTTCATCACTTTAGAATCTGGCAAGCAATTCCAGACCCTGCTCTTTTTAATATTTGAATAATCACCATACTACTTACTAAACTGCTCTATCTTTTCACATCTGCACCAATAGTCTATTTTCTCCACATCATCAATGACATATACAATTTGTTGTTCCTTTTAAAGGCCTAACTCATAGTTAAATTTCTGGGCTTACAGTATTTTCCTGCCTCAGCCTCCTCAAGTAGCTGGAACTATAGTATGTACCAGGTATGTACTTGGCTTATGAATGTCTGGTTTTTTTTTTTTTTTTATCCTAGTCATCTTAATGAATATGAGATAGTAACTCATTATGTTTTTAGTTGCATTCCCCTAGTAATTAGTGCTATTGAACATCAGTTTCATGTGGCTTATTGGCCATTTGCGCATCTTTGGAGAAATGCTTATTCAAGTCCTTTGCTCACTTTTTGAAGAGGATTGTTGTTATTGTTAAAGATGAACAATTCACTCAAACTTTTTGAGCATAGGCAAAAACATGTTGGAAACTGGACCTGGATCTGATAACCCAGCAGAGAGAAACTCCAAGTCAATTTTATGTAAAAGATTTATAAAAGCCATACCAACTGCCCCACACAGCCATGTGTTATATGGCTCTCAGACTTACTTTGTGTGTGTGCATGTGAACATGTGTGTGTGTTCTGGCGCTTGAACTCAGGGACTAGGTGCTATCCCTTAGCTTTTTCACTCAAAGGCTCTACCATTTGAGCCACAGATCTACTTCCAGCCTTTTGGTGGTTAAGAGTCCCATGGACTTCTCTGCCGGGGCTGACTTTGAACCTTGATCCTCAAATCTCAGCCTCCTGAGTAGCTAGAATTCAGGTGTAAGCCACTAACACTTGGCTTCTTAGGCTTTCATCTTCCTACTAAGAGATTCCATTTAGTTTCTTTTAAGTGTAGTACAATAGTGTGCATTCAGGTGAGAGAAGTTGGCCCTACATCCATATGGGCAACCCACTACCCAATCTCTATGCTTTTGGTTCCTGATTCCCTGTAGGATTCTGTCTTCCAATGGCCGTAATCACAGTTGTTTAGAAAGCTGAAAAAGGCTAACCTAAGGCCAGCTGTACTGCATCTGCCCATCAGCCTCCCACTATTAACTACAGATCATTAAGCTGTCCAAAAGGAGAGCTGCTTCCTCAATTTACATCTCTAAAGGGCTGCTGACTGGAATTTTAAGTCATGCTTCCATCGTCAATTCTCTTCATATGCCCACTTTCCACATCTCTGAATTCTTAGACATATAACACATGAACTCTTCGCACAGATTTTAGGACGTATGTTGAATAAGCAAGAAGAAATCACATTTTTAACATCAGGAATCACCGATTTAAAAAAAAAAAAAAGGACACATGGAAGGGAGGGCTTTGAAAAGCTCAGTGTAGCTGGAAGTACTGTAAAAGGGTCATTAGCCTCATTTTACAACCTCAGAACAACAAAATGGATGGTTGTTACTAAGAGACCTGGGAACTGGGAGAGAAAGCTTAATTGGGCCAGGCTCTGGACAGATGCATGATGCTCCCCGTACCCCGCATTCCCTCTCAACATCACCCCTCCAGCATTATCCCCCTAAACCAGTGTTCTGTCTTTCGAATTTAGCAGAGGCTGGCGTGATCCCCAACAGAGGTTCTGAGGAAATCACCTCTCATTGCTGGCAGGGCCCTGCCTCGAGGGGCCAGCTGCCCACACTGAAAAAACACAAGCTCCTCAAACCACGCCCCTCAGTGAATAAGCTCTCGAGCATTCAAGTGCAAAATGGCAAATTGGGACTAAGGAAGAGATCCAGGGCACCTGGTCAGTGAGCAGACGCCTTCTTGTCTGGTCCTTAATGAGGAAGAATAGAGATCCTTAAATGAGGAGCAATTACCCAGGATAATTGATCACTGTACCAAATACCGCAGATTTAAAGGAAAACACATGCCTAAATAGAAAGCTTAAAGATAGGGAATGCAGGTGATATGAGGCATGAAAAAGAAAATTAGGTACCTGACACTGAGCCTGTTTATATTTTCAGGAAAGGGAGCAGAGAAATCGCTAGATGTCATCCACAAATAGCAAGGGACACAAGGGAAGAAGAATCTGCCAGGGGTGGGGAGAAGGGGGACTGGAGAGAGAGGAAGAGAGGCACTACCTAATGAGGAGGAAAGAGTGGAGACAGCCTAAACGACACGTCTCTCTGTGCCGATGAGACAACACACGGGGAGTCATTTAAAATCCTTGGCACCATGTATAATGGAACCACTTGTAGATGAACCAGAGGGAGCAGCATCCACCTCACCCCACCACTCCTGGATGCTGAGGAGGCTGGAAAACAGGTGTCCAGAGAGAGCAAAAACAGAGGGCATTGGGCATGGGTGACACTGTAGATTTTGGATCTAAGTGGTTGTGCCAGTGTGGGCTGTGGGGGTAAGCTGCTGTGGATGGCTTCAGAAGGCAAGCTTATAAACAAAGATTAGAAGCTTCAAGGGTTCAAGTTTGTTCCTCAATAATAATCTTATGATACTCTGTCAATAGATTAGCTTCCTTCCTCCCTCCCTCCCTCCCTCCTTCCCTCCCTCCCTTCCTTCCTTCCTTTCCTTCCTTCCTTCTTCCTTCCTGTCCTTCCTTCCTTCTTCCTTCCTTCCTTCCATTTGGGAAACATAATAATAGGCCCTTAATATAATCCCTTGCTTATTTAAGACTAAGGCTTATTTCCATTTAAAGGTGTAATGGATGTTAAAAAATCATGTCTGTCTGTCTGTCTGCCCTTCTTCTGTCTCTGTCTGTCTTGGGTCTTGCACTCTGCTTTTTTTTGGGGGGGGGTCTGGTCATGGGGACTGAACTCTGGGCCTGGGCGCTGTCCCTCAGCTCTTCAGCTCAAGGCTAGCGCTCTACCACTTGAGCCACAGCACCACTTCCGGCTTTTTTCTTTTTGCTTATGTGGTGCTGAGGAATCGAACCCAGGGCCTCAGGCCTGGAAGGCAAGCGCTCTATCACTGAGCCACCTTCCCAGCCCCAACTCTCTGCTTTCTTGCTGGCAGCTGGTGCTCTACTATTGGAGCCATGCTTCCAGCTCAGCATTTTTCTGGTTAATCAGAGATGGAATCTTGAAGACTTTTTTTTTGTGTGTGCCTAGCCTGGTTTCAACTAGCATTATAAGCACAAGCTGCCCATGTCTGGAATTTTTTCCTCTTCTAGTTTTTTAGCTATAGATAATCTAGACACAGGTTAGATGATTCAGCTTATATTCATAAAAGACATGTG